ATCATCCAATTGTTGTTATCTCCTTGCATCGTGCAAATTAATCACGTACGATTAAAAATGTATAGTCCTCAGACTTGCAAGTCTAATCATTATTCAATTTACGTTGCACCGCATCTTTTCGCATCGAACTTTCGAGTGCTGCATGAGAGAAAAAAAAAAGTTGCGATAAATTAGTAAAAACGCCGTCGAGGTCAAATAGAATTATTTACGTAAGAAAAAACCCACGACAAACTCACAGAGTCTCCTTACATAATTAAACGCACAGCGTACACCTTGCATACGTGTATGAAACAAGTGGTCGAGCGTTTATAATGCTGCACGACAGAAAATTCACGCGACATTTGAACGGAGCAATTAACAGTTTTCCACGACGAATTATCGCAAGGTTGATCACTCTTTAATGATAAATAGAAAGCAGTTTACCAACAAAGAAAAAAATTCATAGCGATAAGTGGTCTTCCTGGAAATTATTGCACCACCTACTCCATCACCGCGTATATAGATACGTGAATAATCTACTCGAGCTAAATGGTATAAAACAACCCGACGATCTCGATCGAGGCGACCGATTCCTCCCACCTCCCTTCGCGAGTTATGTACGTGTATAAAACGCCCATACACACGCGCGAATCCAACGTTTGATGTATCTAGAGGTGGTATATATAATGTATGAATGCCCGTTCGGACCCCGCGGGGTAAAATCACCCCACTCCTTGTAGGCCCCCGATCGAGCGGCTCTCGCGTCGCGCGCGTGTGTGCGTACAGTACACGATGTAGGTAGGTAACAACGCGCGCTCCGAAATCCACGGCAGTAAGCTCTGCTCTCGTAAGACACGCGCACGTGCGCGTTACCGTTTCTCCAAGTTTTGCGCACAATTTTTTGTGTATCCGGTTTTTTTTTTTTTTTTTTTTTTTTCAATCAACCCCATCGCGCGTGTGTCGCGGTGTTGAAAAAAAAGAGGCATTGCGTTGACTCAAATATTACAAGTATACACGCGCAGTTGGAGTAAAAGGAGCTGCTCAGAGAGAGAGAGAGAGGCAGGAATCGGCGCCGCAGGAGCGAGAGATCGGGGAATCGAGGCGCGCCTCCTTTCAGGTGAGTCTCTCTTTCTCTTTCTCCCTTGAGGCGGCTTTAACGTATACGGGCTAGCCAACAAAGAGAGCGGAGCCAGCCGACTCTCGCTTGTATTACCTCTGCGCGCGTGTGAGTTTGAGCCGAGTGTAGTCCTTCAACCTACGTACGCGTTGTACGCGCGAGGAGGTATATATTAATTATGATAAATCGCGTGTGTATATACACATGTGCGCCCAAGTGTGGGATCGGCGTACTTACCGATGTCGACGCTGGTGCGGCCGTGGCGTTGAAGTTTCGATTAGCCGAGGATTTTTGAGGAGCCGCGAGCACGTCGGTGTGCGCTTATACAGTCGCTTTTTTCCTGCTCGAGCTATCAGACTTTATCTTATCAGTACATTGTATGCGAGTTTGTGTGTTGAGCTCCACGGCGCGTGTACATGGGTGTGCGTGATCGTTTGCCAACTTTATCTATCGCTCCACTGCGGCATAAATTCTCGCGTCGGAGATCTTTTTCATATTTATTTTACGTGACGAGATTATTTGCTCGGCGCGACGCGGTATCATAGATACCGTATATACCACGACTCGTTTGTGCGCAAAAGGTAGCAAAAGCCCGTTGTGCAAAGAATGTGGATATGCGTGAGCGTATGGGTATAGGTGATGTAGGTACCGATTTTTCGTATCAAGAGATTAAAGTGATCGTGAATTGTTGGCGTAAGGATCGTTTGGAACAAACATCTATGCGTTTTTCTTTATTTATGAGCGGATTGAACATGAAATCGGTATAAACTTTTGTAAAAATCGGCATTGTGTAACAATGAAAGAAAAAAAAAAATTAATATATCACGAGAAAACTATAGCTAAAGCAAAGTTGTCTACTCGGCTGTCGAAGGCACGTCTGGAATTTACCAGAAGTAGGATCGGTATCAAAAACGCAGACACGATATATTTTTATTCTGCTTGCGTTTGTGGGATTCGATAAAAGCTTGGTCATCACTTTTTCTAGAGCCCATGCTACTCGTGAACTTTTTTTTCTTCCTCAACCGATCTTTCAACGTAAAACATTCCTGAAAACTGCAATCCTTGAGCAAAATAATACGAAAGAGGAGGGAAAAATGACTGTCTCGCGAAAAAAAAAAAAAAAAAAAAAAAAAAACAAGAGCATCGAGGACGACGATCGGAGGTGCGCGTCAATGTTTACCCAGATCGAGGCTCCTATGTAAATCAAAGAGCTTTTTTTCCTCACTTATGGTAGAGGGAAGAGGAAGTTTACGGGGGTCCCAGATAGATAAGGCAAATTAAGGCTGAGCCGACGCGCTTCTTCGCTTAACAGCGCATTACATTGCACGCGCTATAAGAGTATGCACGGAAACCAGGAGAGATAGAGAGAGAGAGAGAGAGAGAGAGAGAATGACTGTAAATATTTAAGTGGAGTAATCACCCTCCGCGCGATCATGCATTTATGCATGTATGTACCTCGAGGAGGAGGAGGTACCCTCTCGCACATACAAGCACACCTGGGCACGGCCCGGCTTATCGTTGTAAAGAGGTCCCGCGGACCGTTAATCGGCTACAGCACCGTATACACATAGCAAGACGAAATATGGCTACCGATCTTCACCTCCTCTCTTTCACTCGATTTCTTGCTTGTATATATATACATATATTTACTCTTACCTTCTCAGAATCCGAGTGTACATCCAAGTCGATCCCACCCGGACGATGTTACGTGTATATTATATATACACACTGCGCGCTGTGTGCTCCGTTATATTGCATATATATAGAGGAATATAAGATGCCCCCTCGACATGTGGCACGTATCTGTATGAATGTGTTTCTTGTGTTTCCCTCCCACCCCCTGTATATACATACATGCTCCGGAAAGACGAGAAAGAGATACGAGATTCAATGTATCGTGAATTTATTATATGCGGGCAGCTCCTCGGGGCGCGATTGTTTCCTGCATTTTTGGCGATAATAAAAGCCCCTGCGTGCCCTGCACTTCTCCTTCTCCTTCTTTCGTATCATCCTGGTTTTATTTTTCTTTGTTCAGCGTATGGAAACGTTGTTGCACGAATCGCACAAGTCGGTTTACTCGTTTGTTCATGACGTGGCTGGCAATAAGCTTTTTATTGTATGAAAAAAAAAAAAACTTGCACACGTTAGTCAAAACACCTCCGGACAGGAGCATTTTTTGCTGTACTATATATTCAAATGAAGCACGTGTGCAATCGGGATTATAAAAAAAAAAAAAAAAAAAAAAAAAAAAAAAAAAAAAAAAAAAAAAAAAAAAAAAAAAAA